AATATAAATCTAATAGTCTCATCTCATATGAAGCAGTTAAACCATAATTAATTACATACATTTTTCTTTATGACAAAGAGATGAGTTTCATGTAAGCGCGCGACTGATTGTATGTATCCCATGTAATAGCGATTCTTCAGCGATCGGAATTGGAAAGGGTTAGAATGAATAATCCGGCGAAAGGATGAGATGTGAAGGAGAAACGGGAGGGTGCAGTATGTTGTGTGTATCGGCTACAGAGCCACTTCCGTGTATCCCGGAAACTCGTGCAGAGACTCAGCTCACAGTTGCAGAACGACAGCGGGAAGAGAAGCAGGAGGAGGATGGAAACAGAAAGCCCACAGGGGCTAAATTTGCATCCGGCAAAGCAACCTCGGACTACTTTATTTGATTGGCTGCCCGCAGGGCTGCCTTCTGTCCCTACATGGACGAACCTACACGGATCGGGATCGCTTCGTGTTTCTCTTTTCCTCTCTCCGTCGCGTCGGCGTCTTATTTTTTCGTTTCTTCCGTTCCATTCTCTTTTGTCATTTTGTTTCTTCGGGACCGTCCTTCTCCCCTTTCTCTCTTCTTCTCATCTTCTCACCCTCTCATCCTTGTAGCCACCTCGCTCGCCACTAGATAGGTTTTCCGGAATCATATCGGCGATGGCCGCGAGAGACACTTCCACGGACCATGTAAGAGCAGCTTAGGGCGTTTTTTTTTTTGCATTCTGAATTGGAAGACCGTGAAGAAAATGGACGGTATTAATCTTTCTGATTTCTTGTAAGGTAAAGTGCTGATGAATTTACGAAATTCACGAAATAAGAAACATTGCATTGTTTGTACTTTCATATTTTTAATTGCAATTTCCCTCTGCTCTGATTTTATATTTTTAATGTATTCGTATAATTTAATATTTTATTGAAAGATAAATATTCGCGATACGAAAAAAATATATCAAGGATATTCTTAGTTAATTGACGAATATTTACAAACATGGTATTTGACTCGGAAGTCGTCGGATATTTTTTAAAACAATAAATTAAGTTTTATATAATATAAAATAAATAACAAAAGTTTGTTCTCGACAAAATTTTATATTGGAGATTTTCTTGCATAATGTAAATTCGGTGCTAAATTATCGAAATATTTGATAATGAGCCAATTGTAATATTACAAACATAAAGATATATCTCTATTTCGTCACTTTATTGCTTGATCGGATGTAAAATGCAAAGGCGGCTGAAATGATGATAACGACAACGGCTGAGCCATCGATCGATTTTCGTCCCTGTTCACCGACGATGAAATAAACTCAACGTCGAAATAATCATCCGCTTTAATAAAAACGGCTTATCCGCGAAACAATGGACTGTCGCTCGCAGGACAGCCAAGCACGTGGTGTCGTGGCGCGCGTCGCGGCTTGTCTTTCGTGGGAGTGCTACGTCCGCTCGCTCGTTCATTCGGCTCTTCCTAAGAGTTAAGCCGTTTTAGCTTTACTTCGCTACGCACTAAAACAAGGTATCTTAATACGAAGCCACTTCAAGTTCCACGGCGTACCTGAAATTAAATCTCCTTCTTGTCGCAATTAAAACTTGATTCTGGAAACGCGTTGTTATGGTCCAACCTGTAATGAAAAAACTTATGGCGCGCGTAGGCGATATATTATAAAAATGCGAGGCCACGAGCGATTTATTGACTTTATAGGACATTGCAAATTTCGTTAAATTAGATCAAATCCGCTTTTACTCTATTTAATAAGAAAAATAAAGATACTTAGTGTGATAAAGACATTTTTTTAATTTAAAGGTACAATAGATTTTCAAAAAGTGATGACAATTTTGTATTTTCCATTTAATTTTTTCATATATTTCGTATACATTTCTATATTTCACATTTTGAATTTTGCTAAAAAATAATACCGACAACAGAAATATATATAACAGAGTTAGGATTTATATTAAATCTTAAAAGATAAAATAAAATGCGAAAGATAAATTTATGATGTGAGAACGATTTAAAAACGAATGTTAAAATTATGGTAACTGTAGACATTAAATTCATTATGGAAACAAATTGCTAAATCTTATCGTTAATCGATCTTATTGTACATCTTATGATTAATTAATCTTTTTTAGAACATTATATGCTTTGAGATATCATATTGTTTGCTTTTCACGTTTCGGCGCGACACGTAAGAGTATATGTACGAGATATTCACGATTATATTACCTTTGAATGCATTGAATGTAGAGCAGAAAAGGAGGAGGGAAGAAAGAGGGAAAGGGAGAGGGAGAGGGGGGCGGGGGAGAGAGAGAGAGCAGGAGATGATATTCACATAAATTCATGCAGAATGCGATTATTTCTCTAAAATACGCAATAATAATATATTTGATTGAATAAAATGCAGGTAAAATTTTTTCAATCTCACAATAAAAATAGCAAAGATATGACAGGGTGCTATAATAAGACGCTTGATGTAACTTGATATTTTCTCTTTCTAATTATAGATTTTTTGTCATGATATTTTAAATAGCTTAAGTTGGGATAAATGATATTTAGCCATGTTCAATTCTTTATGCTTATGAGTTTGTATCTTCATTTCATTTAGAAGCGCAATGTAAAAAGTATTTTTATTCTGTGTCTCTTTTTCACTGGATGGCGCTCGAAATGTTGGCTGCGCAGTTTCGAGAGGCATTAGGTACGCGTTTTCCAGACTTTAAGCCGAGCATCGCCGGAGGAGATCTCATTAATTAGCTAATGGCTTTACGAGTCTTCTCAGGTACATATACGTTGCGTATGGTACGAGTATCAGTATTCTTCTATATGTCACTAAATGATCGCGAATTCGCTCGTTAGTAGCAACGTGGTTATTTCTTATAAATGTGACAAATAAACTAGCGATTTTATCATATATTAGATTTCTTTCCTTTTACAATTATTCTTGTTACATACAAAGCTAAAAGCGACGCATGATTCATATAAAAATAGAGATAGTGATTATATGATGCAATTTCAAGTAGTCTACGCTGCCTACGCTCATGCCAAGGAATTCGCCCTTGATTACAAAAGTAACCAACTTTGTATCTTCTAATTCTACTTGATCGAAATTAATTCATTCCCAATCTAATCAAATTGCCTGAATCGTCTAATTTTATATACGATTCGTTTTCATCGAGTCCCGTATTGATACTTTTCATGGCTTGATTCGAACACGCCTGATTGCTAGTAATACCCAATTATCCTGAATATTTATTTAGACAACAAATTGGCAAATATGTAAACCATTAAGACGCTTCGTATGCTTTATTCTTCTGTATCCAATAAAACGTAATATTTTTATTATTTCTAAGTTTAAGTATCAAAGAATTTGTTAGGTACTGCATCCTATTGTGATGCTTTCAAGAATCACAATAATAAAGGATGCGTCTTTAATACATCAACGGGCATAAATTATGCAGCGTTATATGAGTGGAAAACGCGTGTATAAAATGAAATGACATAAAATAACATGTTAAAATAAAATACATCGTTCTTCAGAGTTATAAATTGTTTTGCAGTTTGGCACCAATGTTATATTATATTATTCCATTTGTAATAACGTTAGTGTAGCAATAAAACGCCTGATTTCAACGTGTTCTAATATTCTAATGCGATTATAACTATAATAGATTTGCATTTACAATTTGTCCTTAATATCTTAAATATCTGAAATATCTAATGATCTCAAAAGTAAATTACACCTTGTATTTATTACTTAATGTGTCTTTGTTATTTAAGATTATGATTAATAAAAGGAAGTTATAAAATTATTTTGTTACTAAAATAATATATATTGATGTTTATTAAAACGATAAAAGAGAAAAAGGTAAAGATTTATATATGCTGTTGATAGATGCATTGTTGAAAATACAGTATTTTTATAAGTTCCATACCTAACAGAGTATAACATTGTTCCTCAAGAGCGCGAGGGAGCAGCTGCATGATATTGTAAGTTTGTAATTACAATTTGTATCAAATGATCGTTTAAAGCGCCAAACGCTTGTGACAAGACGAGTTCTGATCTCTACTCGTAATTAACTTGGCGGTATCAAACCAATTGATCTTCTATAGTAGAGAGAAAGATTTGTCTTACAAGAGTATTGACTTTGATAATAATCGATCGTTACATCTATCGCATTCGAGCTCCTTTTTTCGTCTCTTCAGAAATGTTCGATAACAAGTTGGAACGATAGCTTGCCCGTGCTATGTCGAATTAAATTTTGATTTTCGTAAACAATTATTGCTGTCATTCAAATGCTCAGATATATGTCGCATATACATTTGATTTATTATCTTCTTGCATGTATATAAGTTCATATACACGTCATCAGTCGTTTAATAAACGAATAGAACATTAAATGTACGAGAGATTGAGTTTTATATACGTAAATTATAATTATACTTTTTAGAATATAAATTTTGAATTCTCGCAATGTTTTAATGGAGATAACATACCCGAGGTACCTCTCTGACGAGCATAACTCCTATTCGTCGGGCTTCCTCTCATCCACAGCGAAATTATATGGGGTTCGATGTTACGCTATGTCCCAATTATAAAGTACTCATTGTGCACTGAAACAGCGTCAGTTCCCGTAACACGATGGAATTTTTAATACAGCCATGATATTCCTCATTAGTTATAATTTATTGTTAATTAGATTATGAACCAAATTGAATCAGCGTACAAGTTTTTATCATATTTCACTACATACTGACTGCAGAAAGCATTTATTCGCTTGATACACGCGTTCGAAATTTTTAACGAATATAAAATAATCATGTGTTTAACTGATACAATGATATTATGTGTACATTATTATTCGCGACTGAGATTTTCTTCTGTCATTTTATTATGTTATTAATTATTTTTGTCAGCATTGGTAGCGATTGTTAAATAATTGTTACAATTAATAACATTAATGAAATCTTTTTCGGTACGTGATCAAAATAAAATACAATAATCTTATTTTTTTCAGAAATCCACGAATCTTGAGGATATCATAAGCAAGAAGATAATATCGAGAGAAGGTTTGATGTGTACGAGTAAATCACATTCCAAATACTCGCATTTATCTGCCATTCAATAAAACTATTCATACTGTGGCAAGACTGTTGGATTGCAATTTGCAACGATCGCATTAATGCAAAAAACGAATGAGCCTGTTTTTCATATTTATTGCTGGTGTTACCTAATTATTATATTTGTATATAATTATGCGTATAAATTTGTGTATAATTTTTGTGCAAAATATTATTTGTAGTTTGTGACAATCATACACAGTCACGAAATACTAATTGTCCAAACAGTACGTCATTATATCAATGATTTCTTCAGATTATTCTTTAAACTGGAGTAATAACATCAGTTTCACAATTACTTGTACGAATAAAAATATAAACTATTAATACCGTAACGCGTGCGTGGAATTGCAACCCGGAAAACAATTTGAAGAAATCATCGATGCAATGGCGTACTGTCCGGATGATTTGTTCCATGACTATATGTATATCTCAGAGAAAACATTAAATGTATTAATAAATTTTCAAAAATCTACAGGGGCTGGGGGACGACTCTGAATTTAAAGCGCTTGCTTCGCCTTACTTCAACTTGACAGGTTTTCTCCCTGCTCCATTACCCCTTCATATTCTTCCCTTTTTCTCGCGAGATTATTCGCTTATCGGTTCATTGTGGATTCCTCCTATCCTTTATGAGCAGCGGTCGCTTCCCGTGCATGCTAAATATCTTTCTCGCTACTTCCACCATTCGTTTCAGCTTTGTCTTCTGCAGACACTTTGCATAGTTGCGACGAAATATTATATATATATATAAAATAAGTAGGGTAACCAGTTATTTACAAAAAAAGAGGAAGACAAAAAGTATTGGCAAAGCAAGATTTTGTTCTTTATTTAAAAATATGTAATGTATATAGCTCAATTGTTTCCAAATGAATGAGCCTTGAATTTCTGTTACAATAGAAAAATTTTTATCTCATAACATCCTATTCACGTACCTTATATCAAGAATGTATATTTTTCGTCGACATTCAAAATATAGAGTATCGAATAAATGAAATGTACAAAATTGAAACATATGCATACGTATGAAATAGTTGCATTTAAGGCTAAAATTTTGAATACGAAGAGACTAGGGAGATTGCTATAGTTTAAAAAAATGTAGAGTTGTTTATTTTGCATTTTACGATACACACGCATGATTATTCATTTGATAAAAATATTTAATATTATGTGCAGATTCAATTAAAATAATCTTTACATCATCTAAATATTAACATAGTTTGTACGTATTTCGCTAAATAAATGTCACTGTGCATTATCGTTACATTATTAATGTACGCAAATTTCAAGCGACACGCACTTAACACTCAATGCTTGAACATCTGTTAACTTTCTTATATAAGTCCATGTATAAATTAAGTCGTATTGCGTATGCAATCAACTACTTGTTATTAATATATTTCGAAATTATTTATTTATAGTGTACTAAAATGATTTTATATATAACACATTATGAGATAAATTTACATTGTATAAATTGAGTTATATACAAATCTATATCAATCTGGATTTTCCTATATTATTCAAAATGCAGGACATATAATTTTTAAAAATAAATCTTCCGTTATATGAGAGACTATAAATTCCCATCGATGACGTCAGGCTATTAGGTTCGACGTAGTACGCGACAAGAAAAAGATAATATAATTTCTACGTGCTTCACCCTCTCTCAGCGTTCGATTATCGATTCATGTCACTTTAGTTCGTTCTCGTTGTTCGGTGCTGCTGCTGCTGCTGGTGTTATGTTAAAAATTATACGACATATTTTTGTATTTTCGAGGATGCACGAGAAATGTGGCAGTATTGAATAGTTTTTGAGAAAGGATCTATTTAAAAATTTTCTAAAATCACTTATCATCTCTTCACGATTAAAGTATTCAAATGACTTCCCAGGTAGCACGCTGTCGTTATTTTGACGTCGATAATTAGTGATTTTAAATTATTGACGTCATGTGACCTATTTAAGACGTAATAATGATGTCATCTTTTTGACCAATTAATGATGTCATTTATTTATGACGTCTTTATAATGTCATACTTAATGACATCGAATAAATAGCCAATTGTCGACGTACTAATAATATTATTAGTGATCAATTAATAGCGTCATACATTTATTCCGTTAATAATACGAAATGATAATGATGTATTTTTGATGTCAGTTTATGACATTGTGTGAGTGATAAGAAATATAAGAATTCATATCATTTTTACGATACTTAGACGTCAAGGAGCTTATTATGGTTCTTAAAATGAGGTAGAAATTACAAAAGTAATTGCATATTTACTAGAGAATATTTATAACTTCAACACCTAGCAAATTTGTTCATTTTTGTAATTTTCACTTCGTCTCAGGAACCATATAGATTCGTCATAAGAATAACTAATTAATGAGGCCGAATGGACGCCTTGCTGTCGTCAAAACACTAAAAAAATGACGTATTTTTGATGTCGACTTATGACGTTATGTACCTGTGACAAATCCACGTCATTTTAAACGTCACATTCGTCATAAGAAATTCGTCTAATTAAATGACGTTAAATAGACGACACCTTGCTACCTGGGTTATGATCTTACGATGCACAAATGTATATGTTAAGTTGTTCAACGCTGTTTTATTTCATTATTCACTTTACGGAGTTCTTTACTTGCAGAATTCCTTGTTTAATATCTTATTTTTTATAATAATAATTTGAAAAAATTAAACAGATCTATGAAATATTTTTTATTTATTCTTATCGTATAAAATGACACATATAATTACAACATTTTTATTATTTATTGAAAAGAATTAAACTTTTTAATCGGTGTTCTTTTTATACACATTCAAATGTTAGTTCAATTTGCGAAAAATATCGTTGTCTATATTATAAAGGTCTAAATTGTCAAATATTTCTATCGCCTTGACGAAATATGAAACCATTTGCATTTGCTCAATTAATAAGAGAATAAAATCGTTAAATAACGATATAATCACATATACGTATACGCGCACCGAAATATATTTTGAGTCATACATATTTATTCCATAATCGTAAAAAGATATTACACTTCACGATTCAGATGAATTAAATGTTCAGCGTGTACGACGAGTTAAACCGATTAAAATAATTTTTACAACAAATATAATACACTTTTAGAGCATCTGCCATTTTAATTATCAGTTGACAATTATTTGCAAATAAATAATCTATCCGGCTAGAGTTTGATAGAGCTCATTTTCCTGAAAGTTTTGTTGAATTAAAATATATAGTAAATATATGTGCGTAAATGCCGTAAATTATATCAATATGCAACAATTGTATCAATATTACAATTGTAATAATTACTTAAAGTTAAGTTTTGAAGTAATAATTTTGATTGTAGACGAGAACGTAGGTTTCGCTAAAGAAAAGAATGACGCAAATATCACGTTGTTATAAAAATGCAGCTAATTACACAACTACGAACGAATTAGTTACCAGTCAGAAGCGAATTGGTACGAACATCGCGAGTGCTGCCAGTAATGGGAAAACATTCTGAAAACTTTCTGTTTTCCCAGTGCGTATTAATTTTCATATCCGCGTCTCGTTGCTATAGCTACGGTCATAGCTAGCAGGAGTAATAAGTTTTGGAATAATTTTACGCACAGTCGATCGTATGAATTCGCTCTCTATTCTCTACTCGTACCCTCTCGTTTTTCTTCAACTCCACTACTCTATCGCAGTTCAACCCACGCGTGTTACACTCCGTTTAACCTTTGTATTCTGTTACTTTCTTCTCCCCCCCCCCCTCTCTCTCTCTCATACGCACATGGACTCGTAATGCGATCGACAATTACGTTTAAGGCAGATATTGTACGTTCAATAAATGAAATTCTTTGCTTTATTTCTCACATAGATAATTGAATAATCGAGAAAAAATGTCCTGCTTGGACACCTTTAGATCTTTCGGAATATTTTATTGTTTCCCAATATATATATATATATATATATATATATATGTGTGTATTCATGTATGTATACATATATGTATTTTCTTGAATTATATCAAGTATACCCTATACGATTGTAGTCTCTTTATGCTATTGTCATAAAAAAATCCGTTTCAATAGATTTCTCAGTTTTTTAAACAAAAGCAAATTTTAGTAATTTTTTACGTACATTGAGAAGAAAGAGATGAAAGATAATTTTTATATATCGATGGAATCTCACAGTTTGTGTTAGCTCAACTGTAATCATCTCTATGCACTCGCTCATCACGTGGGATTACGTATTTCTGACTTTTGATCTTGCTTCACGCATGTTTGCACTAAATTATGTATGGCGCGGTGGAGAGAATGTGTATCTTACTAAACACATCGTTTATCGTCGTTCATCACTTTCCTCTCGAGCTTCTAACGTCCATTTACCGGCGAGTGTTTACCGCTATTATTTGCGTACATTCTGCGCGCGCCTGGCGCCGCGCCGTTTCGGTTCAAAGGCGATTTTAGAAAAGTGATGCTTATATTTTCAGTTTGATAAATTTGTCTTAGTGACTTCTTTTATTTAAGCAGTTATGCAACGGAAATATTTTCGCGTTGTTTTCGCGAATAAGAAATAAAATTCATATTCGCACACCACTGAGCATTTTAATGTACAAGAATTATGTGACTCTCATATAATTTATACTTGTTTAAATCAAAAGAATTTACTTGAAAGAAAAAAAAGAACAACGGTCAAAGAAGGAGGTTTGTAAAAAATAAAGCTATGATTCTTGTACATATCTTACACTATCTTCCGCAGTAATTATTGTTTGTTTACTAACGCTACGGTATCGTAGCGTTAGTACCTCTGAATCGGTCGTGGGGGCACATATATAGACAGCGATCAGGACCAAAATAGCAGATGGCAACCGCATCAACGTCGTTACGTAGTATGTGGTTATTAGCTATTAGCTGTAAATCATGTAAGCCGTGTTAATAGTCTATACGTCCAGCAAGTTAACACTCTCATTCACATTACCTAATAATTCCGCTTAACGCTAATCCACATTTCAAACTGTTTGAAAAAGGATATAATAGAACCGCTTATATCTAATGCATATATTAATTTAATAATATATACTCTGCTATTCACGTATCTTGATATATCCTGTTTTATTCTGATTCTCTCTTATCTTTCTTACATATTGATTTGTCGTTCCAATAGATAAATAAATTTAGCATAATAATGTATTTTTCGTAATTACATATAATGATACTGTATTTAAAAAAATTACATATATCAATAAGAAGATATTTCTTATTCTTAATTATTAGGGTTATAAAAGATGAAAGCGTTCATTTTTTTTATCATATCGAGATAACATTGAACGCATCAAAACAGAGAAATTAATAATTTATAAACTGTTATTATTTATTAGAGGGAAGTCGCCGATACTGCCATAGGTCTTCTAAAGCGACACCCCCTTATTTCTCAGAAATTAACTGTTGCACTTCATTAATACTAATAAAAATATAATCTGTTTAGTTAATTTAAAAAACGCATACTTCGTATATTTGTGATTTGTTTTTATACGAAATCAACTAAAAATGAATA